GCGGGGGATCCCGGGGAGAGATCCGGGGAGGGGGCGAGGAGGGCGGAGGGGCGCTCGAAGCTCAGGCCGAGGCCCTTAGGGCTGTGCAGGGCTCGGAGGGTCGCGTACGGTGCAGGCCGGGGTCAGGGTGAGGCCGGGTCGGGCAGGGAGCCCCGGAGTCGGGCAGTGGTGGGTGCCGTGGGTGGTGGGTGCTGCGGGTGGTGGGTGGTGGGTGCCGTGGGTGGCTCGGGCAGGGAGCCCTGGGTGCCCGGGGCAGGGTCCTCACCCTCCTGCACCCCCCGCCCCATCCCCAGCATGGACACCGACCTGTACGATGAGTTTGGGAACTACATCGGGCCGGAGCTGGACTCGGACGATGATGACGATGAGTTGGGCAGAGAGTCCAAGGACCTGGACGAGGTGAGGAGTGGGGGTGGCTGGAGGGGCACCGTCCCATCGGGGCCTGGTGTGGGCCTCACCCTGCCCTGTTCTCCCCCCTGGGGCAGGGGCTGAGCACCGTGGGCTTCACAAGCTGGTGACTCCTTTCCCGTGCCGGACTCTGGGTCTGCAGGGAGGCTTTCTTCAGTGGTGGGATTTGACTCTTGAAGTGGATTTGGCTTTTAAAGGATTCAGCAAAAGCTGCCTCCCTGTTCCTGTCATAAAGGGAAAGACAAAGTTTCTGCTTGAATCGTGGTTAGAACGGGGAGCGTCTGTAGCTCAGGCTGTATCTGGCAGTTTTATCTGTGTTCAGTCAGGTGAAGGATCTGTATCCATTCAGTGAGGTCTTCAGGCCCTCAGTAACATGCCCTAATGCTACAACTGCATTGCGAGGAGCTCAGCTCCTCTGTGGTGAAGGCAGAGAAAGCTCCACAGACACTAAAGGAGAGCAGTGATGACTGGGAGGACAGCAGAGGCTGCTGTGCCACAGTGGGAAAGCATGGCAGGGCTGAGGCAGCCCCTTCTGGTCTCCTGATCCTGCAGTTTGTCCGAAAGTGGTGTCTGTGTGTGACCGGGGTTGTGCTGTGTGTGCGAGCGAGGGGTGGGAGCCTCTGCAAGTTCATTTCCAAGCCGTCCCACCACAAGCAGAGATGTGTTGCTTACAGAGAGCACCTCTGGAAGCTGCTCTGATGCGTGGTGCTGGGGCCACCTTGGTGGTTCCCTGGCTGGGTTTGTAGCCCTCTTTTGCTGTGGGACACCGAGCCAGTGCCTTCTGGGGTGATTGGTGCTTGTGAAGCACTTCGGTGCCGGCAGCAGCTAAATGTGAGTGTCGGTTGCAGCTCGAGGATGATGACGATGATGATGATATGGGGGACCATGACGAGGACCACCCTGGGATGGAGGTGGTGCTGCATGAGGATAAGAAATACTATCCCACCGCCGAGGAGGTCTACGGGCCCGAAGTGGAGACCATAGTACAAGAGGAAGACACGCAGCCCCTCACTGGTGAGTGGTGAGGAAGCAGCGAGTTGGGTACGGAGGGAGGAGAAGACTCTTAATGGATCCTTGGAAAAGGGAAAATAATATTCCCTTTTGTTCTTCCCATTGGTTTTAATGCCCTTTTGAATTCCCTCTCAGCCCCAGGCATGTGTAGACTTGTTTGACTAGTGATGCACAAATTTTAGCGCTTGGGATTATTACAAATGCCAAACTAACTATATTTTGAAGAACAAATATCAGCAGATACTGGAATGATATCACAGGACAAATAAAAATGCATTCAAGTCATCTCATTTGATCCTTCTGTAATAGAGTAGAATAGTTCACTTGGAAGGGACCGACAAGATCATCTGGCACAACAGCTTTTATAAAAAGCTAAGAGATTCTGTCATCTTGAAAAATTGTGGTTTTGTCTGCAAAAGTCCCTGTTTCCTATGAGCCTGTGGGGTTCAGGGTCTCTGGTAACAGTGTTTTATTGTTCTCTCTCTTGTTTTCAGAGCCTATTATTAAACCTGTGAAAACCAAAAAGTTCTCTCTGATGGAACAGACGTTACCGGTCACTGTCTATGAGATGGAGTAAGTCCTGTGGAGGGGTTCTCAGTGCGTACGTTGGCTCAAGCCATCTGTGCTGTCATTTCCTCACTTTTTGTTGTTTGGAGGCAAAGGTGGGGGAGGGGGGTGAGTGGTGTGTGCTCTGGGGGAGGCAGATTTCGGGGGCTCTGGCTTTGTTTCTTACTGACAGCAGCAACAGAGCTGAGTGCAGCTGGTTCCCAGATTTTGAAGCAAAAAGAAGAGGAGGAAAGTGCAAGACATTTTACAGATATTTTTCCCTCTGAGTAACGCAGTGTAGTGTGTAGTTTTCTGACACTGGAATATAAAGCTTACCTCGACAGCTGATACAGAGCTTGATAATTGGAAACCTCACTTGGGCAGATTTGCCAGAGGCAAGTTTTCTTGACTGGCTCAAGATATATTTATACGGTCAGCGTGTGGCACGCCTCATATTGGGACATTTTGGGTTGACCATTGGCTTACTGCTGCCTCAAATTAATTCCCATCTATCCTGGAGGAGTTTCTAGGGGGAGTTTTTGTGCAAAGTTGCACTGTAGGTCAGGGTAATGGTGCAGCCAAGCTGCACTTACGCTGGGCTTGATGATTTCTGCTGGTTGCACCCTGGGACACCAGGGTGTGAGAACCTGACAGAAGGAGAAGGGTTGAGAGAAAACCCTGGAAAAAAAAGTCCAAACAAATTTAAAATCAGAGATATAATACCTCATGTGACTTTGGTAAAGCATAAAAACTGTTGTGTGCTTTCTCTGTAAAAAATGTATAATCTTAGCCATCAATGTCTACGTTTTGTGGATGGGCGGGGGGGTTCTGTGTCCTCGTGTGTGTAGTGTTTCTGTGTGTTGCCTTCTATTTGGGGACGAACAGATTGAGCTGCGTGAGTGTCTCGTTAGGCTCATCTTTCCATGCGCCACTTCATGGCCAGTCGGAGCTTTTTCCAGTTCTTAGTAGTCGGCTTCAAGCGTCGATCCCAGCCCCAGGTGCAGTTCCCTGGGTCCCAAACAGACCCCAGTGTGAGCAGTCCCTCTGTGTATCGTAGAGGATCCTGTTATTTTCCAGCAAGGAGATTTCACTGCAGTTTGTATTCAGTCCGTTGGCTCCTCGGATGCCCAGGACCTTTTTGGAACGGCTGCTTCTTGAGGCTGTGCCCTGATACTGCCAGTTTGGCTGCGTTTATTGATCGGGGAGATTTTTGATACGGCCAGATATAAACCAAAGAGCCAGCAAGGTTTTATTTTTCTAAGCAGTCCATTTTGCTGGTAGTCAATGACCTGTACTCTTCATTATCTACCGCTTGC